ACTTCTCTGACCACGGGATCAGTCTATTCAAATTTTTCCTGGAGAGCTCGAATGTCCTCGTCAGAATGAATTCGACGGCCCATTTTGGTGTCACGGCAAACTTGCCGATGTCGCTCTTTATGCCTCATCTATGTCGTTTATGTAGATTGTGAACAGCAGGGGGCCCAACACTGACCCCTGTGGAACACCGCTCGTGACACTTCCCCACTCTGATTTCTCCCCATTTATGCCCAAAATCTCTGCTGCCTATTTGTCAACCATGCCTCTATCCAGGAAAAAATTTTCCTCCTATTCCATGTGCTTTTAATTTTCCTCAACAGTCTCTGATGTGGGCCCTGTCAAAAGCCTTACTGAAGTCCATATACACAATATCATATTCATTACCATGATCTACCCCCTCAAATACCTTAGTGAAAAAAGTTAATAAATTCGTAAGGCAGAACGCCCCTTTTTAAAACCATGCTGAGATTCGTTGATTAATTTTTGCTTTTCAAGGTTGGGTACGAACTGCCTCGGCAATTATTTATTCCTAAATTTTCCCACTATGGAGGTCAGGGTTATTGGTCTATAGTTTTGAGCTAAGGACCTGTCACCTGTTTTTGAAAATAGGTATCACATTTGCCATTTTCCACTTATCTGGCACCATGCCAGTTTGTTAGTGATATGTTGAAAAGATTAGCCAAGGTGTGCTAAGCTCCTCTTTACATTCCTTTTGAACCCTTGCATACAGTTCATCAGGGCCTGGGGATTTGTTAGGTTTTAATTTATCTATTTGCCTAAGGACCATGTCACTTGTGACCCTAATAGTGCACAGTTTATTATCGTTTCCCGTTTTTACTAATTTTTCATTACTGGGAAAATCGCTGGTATCCTCCTGTGTAAAAACTGAGAGGAAGTATGTGTTAAAAATTTTTACACATTTCCTTATCACTGTCAGTGAGCTGACCCAGGAACTTTGAGTGGGGCCCATCTTGTCCTGATTTACTTCTGATACCTGAAAGAATCCTTTTGGGTTGTCTTTGATTCTCTTGCAACTTTAACTCATAATCTCTTTTTGCTTTTCTAATTCCCTTTTTTATTTCTCTCTTTAACTGAATATATCGATTTCTCAATTGCCCCTCTCCTCTTTTGATTTGCCTATATATGCCTCTCTTTTGACCAATCAGATTTTAATCTATTGTTCATCCATTTAGGATCATTTTTGTTTGATCTGATTTCCCTATTTGGAACATAATTTGACTGAGCAGCTAGAACTATGCCCTGGAAAGCATCATATCGGCAACCGTCACCACCTACCTGACCCTTAGTCAGGTCATTCCAGTTCAGCCCACCTAAGTAATTTTTCAGTCCTATGAAATCAGCCAAGCGAAAGTCAGGGACGGAGACTTGATTGCCATTATTAGGGGAATTCCATGATATATTAAAACTGAGTGATTTGTGATCACTTTCCCCAAGCTACCTAACTGTTGCATATGTGTCTTACCTAACAACCTGTCGGTATTTTATACCATTTTAATGTTCAATCTGTCAGACACTGCAACACAAGGGTATCTTGGTACAGACCTGCAATCAACTTCGACAATTTCCACTAGTGAGAGCGGCTGGATTTGAGAGGGACCTGACCTCTCAACATCTGAGTTCTTACCTCTTCTAGTGACCTACTTCTCACCTCTTGGCAATATATAAGGCTCCATCCTGTCACTTCATCTCCATATTGTTTCATACTATGGAACAATGCTCTTCCCCAGACTGAGGGACTGACCACCTCAAAACTTTAAGGGTGATGGACTGATTACATCGTCTTCAAGTATCTTCTGCTTCTATCAACTTTTCTGTACTCGACTGAAGAAAGACACGTAAGCAAACACTATAACATATTTATTAGAAAACGTTTCGGTCCTGGGACCTTGATCAAGTGATCAAGGTCCCAGGACCGAAACGTTTTCTAATAAATATGTTATAGTGTTTGCTTACGTGTCTTTCTAAACCAACTTGTCGGTATTTATTACCAAGGTTTATACCATCGACTGAAGAAGCCTACTGTGTAGGCGAAACGTTTCATAATAAAGATACCTAACTGTTGCATATGTGTCTTACCTAACAACCTGTCGGTATTTTATACCATTTTAATGTTCAATATGTGTCTTACCTAACAGCCTGTCGGTATTGTATACCATTTTGATGTTCATCTTCCTGGATAGAGGCATGGTTGACAAATAGGCAGCAGAGAGTTTGCATAAATGGGGAGAACTCAGAGTGGGGAAGCGTCACGAGCGGTGTTCCACAGGGGTCAGTGTTGGGTCCCCTGCTGTTCACAATCTACATAAACGACATAGATGAGGGCATAAAGAGCGACATCGGCAAGTTTGCCGATGACACCAAAATAGGCCGTCGAATTCATTCTGACGAGGACATTCGAGCACTCCAGGAAGATTTGAATAGACTGATGCAGTGGTCGGAGAAGTGGCAGATGCAGTTTAATATAGACAAATGCAAAGTTCTAAATGTTGGACAGGACAATAACCATGCCACATATAAACTAAATAATGTAGATCTTAATATTACGGATTGCGAAAAAGATTTAGGAGTTCTGGTTAGCAGTAATCTGAAACCAAGACTCCAGGCTGAGGGAGTGATTACCTCATACTCCTCTTCTCCTTACGCCTTCCTCTTTGTATTGGACTGATGAAGCCACTGTGTGGCGAAACGTTTCCTGAATAAAGATTGCCATGAACATTAAAATGGTATGAAATACCGACAGATTGTTAGGTAAGACACATATGCAACAGTTAGGTAGCTTTATTTCGAAACGTTTCGCCTACACAGTAGGCTTCTTCAGTCGAGTACAGAAAGGTTGATAGAAGCAGAAGATACTTGAAGACGATGTAATCAGTCCATCACCCTTAAAGTTGCATAAGTGTCTCAATCTTCAACTTGTCGGTTTTTGAAACCATTCATCACAAGACAACAGTGCATAAGTGTTCGCAATAAAGCTAATAGAATCCTTGGCTTCATATCAAGAAGCATAAATAATAGGAGTCCTCAGGTTGTTCTTCAACTCTATACATGAACATCAAAATGGTATACAATACCGACAGGTTGGTAGGTAAGACACATAGGCAACAGTTAGGCAACTTTATTCCGAAACGTTTCGCCTACACAGTAGGCTTCTTCAGTCGAATACAGAAAGTAGGCAGGAACAGTAGAGATGTGAAGACGATGTAATCAGTCCATCTACGACTTCAAGGGTGATGGACTGATTACATCGTCCTCACATCTCTACTGTTCCTGCCTACTTTCTGTATTCGACTGAAGAAGCCTACTGTGTAGGCGAAACGTTTCGGAATAAAGTTGCCTAACTGTTGCCTATGTGTCTTACCTATCAACTCTATACATCCTTGGTTAGGCCTCATTTAGATTATGCTGCACAGTTTTGGTCACCGTATTTCAGAATGGATATAAATTCTCTGGAAAATGTACAAAGGAGGATGACAAAGTTGATCCCATGTATCAGAAACCTTCCCTATGAGGATAGACTAAGGGCCCTGAAACTGCACTCTCTAGAAAGACGTAGAATTAGGGGGGATATGATCGAGGTGTATAAATTGAAGACAGGAATAAATAAAGGGGATGTAAATAGTGTGCTGAAAATATCTAGCCTAGACAGGACTCGCAGCAATGGTTTTAAGTTGGAAAAATTCAGATTCAGGAAGGATATAGGAAAGTACTGGTTTGGTAATAGAGTTGTGGATGAGTGGAACAAACTCCCAAGTACCGTTATAGAGGCCAGAACGTTGTGTAGCTTTAAAAATAGGTTGGATAAATACATGAGTAGATGTGGGTGGGTGTGAGTTAGACCTGATAGCTTGTGCTACCAGGTCGGTTGCCGTGTTCCTCCCTTAAGTCAATGTGACCTGACCTGACTAGGTTGGGTGCATTGGCTTAAGCCGGTAGGAGACTTGGACCTGCCTCGCATGGGCCAGTAGGCCTTCTGCAGTGTTCCTTCGTTCTTATGTTCTTATTTGTCCAATGTGGAGGTAGGTCGTGCCCAAGGGTTAGGCAAGTGAAGAATTCCCTGTATTAAGATCCCAAGATGTTGCTGTGTCAGACAGGAATGTAGATGAATGGTTCAGAGAACCGACAAGTTGATAAGTTAGACACATGTGCAACATTTGAGTATCTTTATTGAGGAAACGTTTCGCCACACAGTGGCCTCATCAGTCCATACAAAGGACTGATGAAGCCACTCGTGTCGAAACGTTTCCTCTAATGAATGTCCTGAGATGTACAAAGTGTCCTTGATCACAATGAGTAACATCTCTGGCGAAACAATGGTTTTATATGGTAAATTATTTATAATTTAACCTACGATAAAGGAGACAATTCTAAATGGACTAAATGGACTGAAGTTTTTAATTTAGAGACACTATATACTAACACTACATGATGTGGCAAATAACCTCATTATTCATATTCAAATTTTTATTTCTTTTTATGCTGTACAAGGATAATATAGTTTGCATGAAGCAAAATATTGTTAGGCACAAAGAAAGTCACTGGTATGCAAATGTACTTCGGATTTTTAATAAGCTCTCTGAAATTTTGAGATTTTATCCTTATATTCATAGTGATGCGGTACAACCCACATGTTTTATACAGCTCATTAGTTAAATGAATTACTATATGACTTTTTGGTTTATCCTAGGTAATTTATACTATGTAAGATAATTGTGCTTGTGTGTACCTGTGCCTAAATAAACTTACTTATCGAAATGAACTTTAAAAAATAAGATATTACAAGGGCCCTAATGGAAATAAGTCACTTAGTCTGATTTTTTTTTTTTGGGGGGGGGGTTATCCTAGGTAATCTACATATATACTGCTATGTATGATAATTTGTGTAACTATATTTATGTATACCTGTACCTAAATAAACTTATTTACTTATTAACTTAGTTTTGTATAAGTGAGGTGGTAGAGGTGGGTGACCGGCCATCACTGAGAACCGTAGCAGTAGCGTAGTCATCACTGTGACTCAACAACCTCACAACCCAACCAACAATTATACCACTGAGGCCTATCACATAGGCTGTCTACACCCCGGAGGAGGAGGAACCTGTCGATGTCTACAAACTCTTAAGTACTTGTAAGGACTTGTATTTCACAGGGCACGAATTACTTTTCTATGTTTGAGAGCTTCGTCTTTAGCGCCTCTGACAGTTTAAACTTTTTAGCGTTTTTTTTTAATTTATCTCTAGGGCGTTCCTTGATTCAGAGAATTGAATCTGCTCTTGTTCCTTGGATCAAGGGATTATCCTAGGTTAAATTTGCTTAATTAATGTACTTTTTGCCCCTATTACGTGTGTAGTTTATTTAGGTACAGGTACATAAAAAATACAATTATCATACATATTGACTTATTTCCATTAGGGTCTTTTTATTATCTTATTTGTATCCTGTATACAAAAAGCAAACAAAACCTTAGTATCTGCCATTTCCACCAGGTGCTATATGACCCCTATGGAAATAAGTCACTCTGACTTTTTTGGGTTATCCTAGGTTCTCTACACATATGCTGCTATGTATGATAATTCTATGTAACTGTATTTGTGTATACCTAAATAAACTTACTTACTTACCCCTATGGGTTTAGTGCTTCCAATGACTGATAATAAATTATTTATTAGTGTTAGTATGATTATTAGTATTAGTGCGGTTATTAGTATTAGTGCGGTTATTAGTATTAGTGCAGTTATTAGTATTAGTGCGGTTATTAGTATTAGTGCGGTTATTAGTATTAGTGCAGTTATTAGTATTAGTGCAGTTATTAGTATTAGTGCAGTTATTAGTATTAGTGCGGTTATTAGTATTAGTGCGGTTATTAGTATTAGTGCGGTTATTAGTATTAGTGCGGTTATTAGTATTAGTGCGGTTATTAGTATTAGTGCGGTTATTAGTATTAGTGCAGTTATTAGTATTAGTGCGGTTATTAGTATTAGTGCGGTTATTAGTATTAGTGCAGTTATTAGTATTAGTGCAGTTATTAGTATTAGTGCAGGTTATTAGTATTAGTGCGGTTATTAGTATTAGTGCGGTTATTAGTATTAGTGCGGTTATTAGTATTAGTGCGGTTATTAGTATTAGTGCGGTTATTAGTATTAGTGCGGTTATTAGTATTAGTGCGGTTATTAGTATTAGTGCGGTTATTAGTATTAGTGCAGTTATTAGTATTAGTGCGGTTATTAGTATTAGTGCAGTTATTAGTATTAGTGCGGTTATTAGTATTAGTGCAGTTATTAGTATTAGTGCAGTTATTAGTATTAGTGCAGTTATTAGTATTAGTGCAGTTATTAGTATTAGTGCAGTTATTAGTATTAGTGCAGTTATTAGTATTAGTGCAGTTATTAGTATTAGTGCAGTTATTAGTATTAGTGCGGTTATTAGTATTAGTGCGGTTATTAGTATTAGTGCGGTTATTAGTATTAGTGCGGTTATTAGTATTAGTATGGTTATTAGTATTAGTACGGTTATTAGTTATTATGGTTATTATTAGTTATTATAAAAGAAACGCTGTCTGTTTATAAATTCGTCTCTTCTCAAAAATCACTTACTCACCCACAACTAAATAAATACTGAATAATTGTATCTCGTATATCATATATGTATCTCATTATTGTATCTCATAAATATCAACCTGTGACCCAATCAAACTTTGTTACTATTTAACTTCATTACCTAACAGAATACTCCATTCTACTGATTACACAGCAACACAGTAAATGACCATATGACCTGTCTTTGTAATACTCATTTGTACTAAATTGTTACCTGTTTTACAATAATTTTTGTACCACTGAATATATCATTGCTTAGTTAATCTTAAGTTAAGTTTAAGCCTGCCCATAATGCTCACATACAAGGGGCTTTGGCATGCTGCACTTTAAAAATTGTATTCCTTGTACTTCTCTGTATCATGTTTAAATTAATAAATAAATTACAGTTATTATTAGTTATTATGGTTATTACGGTTATTACGGTTATTACAATTATCATTATAACGGTTATTATTTATTCTTATTATGAGACATTAACCTTTGTATGTAATCCTAGCTTGGTATACACCAATTGAATTTTTAAGTCACCGAACCCGTTATACAAGCAGTAGGCTTGGTGACTTAATAAAATATAACCACACCTTGTCCAATAACATAATTTATTTAATCTGGTATGTACATGTACAGGTGCTCCTCGACTTATGATGTTCAGCTAATCGTATTTCAACTTTACAGTGGTGCAAAAAAAACAATTACTTTGGAGATGAAACTTAAGATAATAACCCAGCTTGAAGGCAGCAAGTCTGTAACTTGTAATCATTTATTTACTTTTCATTACTTTTATTTAGTTACAGTAATTATTTGTTTATGTACTTACTCAGTGACAGTCGTTATTTTATTTATTTAGCAAATCTTTCATATATGACTTATGATGGGTTCGTCAGAACGTAACTACATCGTAAGTCAAGGAGTACCTGTATATCAATAATATGAAACAATTTTAGGTTAGCCAAGTCTGGGTGACCATCATTCACTCAGTTGCCATCTTTCCAGAATTGTGTTTGCCAGTAATTTTACTAAATTTCTGTATCTTGCAAACTTTTACAGGACTGATACGTTCAGTATACACTTGCCTTTTGTTTTGTGTCTTAAAATGGCTGTACTTATTTGTTAAATATTTTCTTTCAAAATTAGGAAGCCCTCCTCTTCCCCCCCCCCCCCCATCTTTTTTTTATACTAAAGTTCATTTAGGTAAATGTTAACATTTTTCATTTGTCTAGGTAGTGTGAAGTAATCATGGGAGATCAGACTTTGTACCTGCGGTGGAGTGACCATCATCTAACAATTTTGCGCCTCTTGTCCATCATCAGAGACAAGGTACTGTACAAGAAGAAAATATATTATGTGCACACTTGTAGCTGAGAACAATTTCTTGCCTTGTCTTATTTTGAAGTCTAACCCCTAGTATTTTAATCATTAGGCAGCCCTATTAAAGGAATATACTTTATCATTTTTACTTTAATTTTTTTTTTTTACCACTGTGTGGCTTACAGACAATACCTTGAGAATGTCTGTTCAGTGACTTGGAAATTGCAAACATTTGTTTTCAGAAAATTATTTCATTAAAATTGGTTGTTTTGGAAACCAGTTTTTTATTGGAAGATCAATCTGCTGATCATGACAATAATGAAACAAAACTATGCCAGAGTTGCCATATATTGTCTACCATACATAAGCCAATGCCAGCCTTGTACTTTGAGCTAAAAATTGCCTTATTTACCTTGGCACTCTTATTATTTGGGTTGACTTGTAAATTTTTGACTCCATCAATGAAATCTAATATTTTAATAAAAATGATAATTTCACCATGCCTTGAAAGTAATAAATTGTGTAAGAAGTACTGGCAACCTCATAATAGCAAAACCAAGATTAAACCAGCTTCACTATGGAAACTTATTTTGTTCATTTTTGTCTGCTGACCTCTCATATTTTTTTTTTCATGGGGATAGGCCTGTAATTTGAGTTTTCCTTTTTCTTTTTTTTTTCTAAATACAGGAGGGCCCCACTTATGACAGGTTAGGTTCTGGGCTGTTATCGTAAAGCGAAAGCAATTTTTTCACTTTCAAATATATAAAATGGTTGTAACATGTTTACACTATCATATATTAAGTGCACAATAGAGCTAGGCCCCCCCCAAAAAAAAGGTACAAAAGTAAAATGAATATACAGTACACACAACTCGTGTTGCTGCCAAATTGGATTTGGCAGCAACATGACTCATATTGTGACTTCCACAATGTTTTGAACACTGCCTACTGATAAAACAATGCTAAACCAATTTTATTATGAAAGGAAATACAGTACTGTAATATGCCTTATTTTAATCCCCTGAAAAAGTGAAGTTGGTAAGTTGTGGACATTTAATAAAATATCTGCCCTTTACCCCATACACCCCATTCATTGTTGAATATTAATTATAAAAATAGTTTTATTCTTAAGGAGCCAGTAACCCCTGCTCTTGTATACATTGCTAAAGTTAGAGATTTTTTTTTTTTTGAGGGGGAGGGGGGGCACCCCTGACCTTACTTCGGTGGGATACGGCCTGTTTGTTGAAAGAAGTTTCATTCTGTTCATTATTAATAGTGTGTCTTCAGTAAATAGGTAAATAACTTTTGAGATATTCAAGGAAAATTCTGTTGATGAGTAAAGGAGTACGAAAAGTGTTTTTCTACATTTAACCCCCCCCCCCCCCCAGTAATATACACAGTGCCTATCTTTCTTTTCCATTTTTGGTCTGTGATTTCCCTCTTTTTATACATAGTCTGCAGACACATCTGCCCCCAAATATCAGTTTTTGTTTAATACATGTACTGCACTTCTTCCCAGCATTAGCATTCAGCTTTATTTATTTTCACAAGCCAACTTCTTGTAAATTTATAATATTGTGTGGATTGGTTATACTGGCTGACTGAAATGGCCAACCTTTGTTTTATTTGAAACTTTTTAACTGGAGTTGATGCCACCATTTATTTGTCTTTTTCAGGAACAGTACTGTGATGCTACAATAATGTGTGAAGGTCGTGTCTTCCCGGTTCACAGAATTGTTTTGGCAATGTGTAGTAGTTATTTTGAAAATATTTTTAATAAGCTTGATTGTAAGAATCCAGTGATTGTTTTGGCAGATATTAAAGCTGCTTATTTAGAAGTTTTGCTGTCATATATGTATAGTGGAGAGGCAACCATTTTGCAGAGATGTGTTTCTGGTGTTTTACATACTGCTTCAGTTCTTAAAGTGAAAGGCCTCTCTGAAGATGCAGATGATCATACAGATGTAAACTTATATGGAGAGGCAATTCCCAACATACAGTATAATCAGAAATTAAGTACGAAAAATACGGTTCTAAGTGTACAGCAAGAAAAAGAGTGCAGAAATGGATCAGCAGATTTTGACAGCCAACCCGCAGCAAGCAAGCAGATGAGACAAACAGAGTTATCTAGGCAAACTGTATCAAGTTTCCTTGTAAGAGAAGGCACTCCTGAAATTAATGAAAATAGTGAAGGCAGCTTGACCCACTCATCCACTCTCAGCATTGTACCAGACTCTGAAATAAGCTTAGTACAGTCTAACTTAGTTTCTCAAAACTTGGGTGAATTATTGTCTTTGAATTCTGTCAAGGGTGACAGTTGTCATGAAGCTTTGATGCTGTGGAGAGAGAATTTGTTATCCCAAGACAGTACACATGAGAGACAAACTTCCAACACTGATTCTGCTATGGATCATTCAAACAAGGTAAGTTCGGCACTTCTCCACTTGATTACATTAATTTATAAGGACTGCTCTAGAATTATATAAAAGCTAATTATATTGTCCTAATTACATCACTATTTTCAGAGTATTGTGGAGGAGATAGACATAAAAAATGAAATCATAGAATTGTTGCCAGAAGAATGCAATGTGAATGGAGTTGGGAATTCTATGAACATTGATTGTTTACACTGTACAAGAACTTATTCTTCCAACCAAGGTAATGACATGGAAGGAATATGTACCTCCAGGGATCAAAATAATATACCAGTGGCTGCCACTTTTCAAGACAACAGGGTCTCTCAAAACATATCCCCAGGAGATGTCTGTCAAACAGAGGTGGTAAGAGCAGTTCTTAAACAGGAGTTATCAGGCACATGCATTGTTAATGGACATGAAGATAATGATGTGGGTGTTGCCAAAAACAGTATGGTGGTGTGTAATGGTGGAATGCTAGCAACAACTCCAGAAATTTGCAAGACCCTGAGGAGTGTTGCAGTTTTCCCTCTATGACAACTGAAGACAATATGGAACCAGATGACACGGCAAACTGTAGCAATTGCCAAGAGCATAAGAATGGGCATCAATCTTGTCCTGAAATTACAATTAACAATGACCATAATAATACAGCACTTGGTGTCAGCCATAGAGCACCTATTGATAACATTTTTACCAAATCCAAAAAGAATTCAGATGCAAATGCTCTAAAATCCCTGTCTGGAACAAATCACACTCCAGAGCCAGTTAAAAGACGAAGAGGACGGCCAAGGAAGTTACCAATGGTTAAAAATGAAAAAAGTGGAAGATGGGCGAAGATTGTACCAGTAGTTAAAAAAGAAAGAGTACAGCCTAGGATGGTACTAGCAGTTAAAGAAAGAGGACGAACAAAAAAATTGGAAACTGTCCTTTCAGCTGCAAGCTCTCGATGCATAGAAATTCATAGGTCACGGATTAAAAATGTGGATCTACGAGAAAACGCTGATCAACAGTTTCGAAGAGAAACTTCACATAGATTGACTCGCTCCAGTACGTCTTCAAAAAAGGTATTGTGTATTTACTCTTGTGTGTTCCTGATCGTATATTAGTGGTTACTTCATAGTTAAAGGACCTGAGCTATGTTTGATGTCCTGTCTTCTGTATTTATTTTAATATACTCTACCAGATACAGTACGTATAAAGTTTGTTTTCTAGTAGCTTTTTTACACTAGCTTTTTCGAAGTTGATGCTGCTAAGAAATCATCCATACTGTACCTTATTTTCTTCTATTCTTTTATGATTTTTTATCTGTCAGATAAGTAATGAACAGAAGGTAGGTAACCTCTATTACTCCATTATGCAGTCATGTGGTTGGTTCCCAGCAGTTATTAAAAACATAAGCTTTCCATATCTAGTTTTTATTTTCCTTAAACATTATATAGTTGAAAAATACAGTGGTACCTTGACTTAGTGCCCCAACTTACGAGTTTTCCGAGTTACGAGCCATCGCTCGTTTGATTATAGGCTTTCAGTTGCAAGCCAAAATCAGAGTTAGGAGCGAGCTTCAGATATGCCGCCACTAATTGGCGGCGTATCTGAAGTCAAATCCAACTCTGTACCCAGAGGAATGTCAGGTATACTTGTCCCATCCCACATGCTCTTCCAGATTGTAGTGAGGCACCTTGTCCCTTGTTTGGTTCTCGTATAAATCTGAGGAAGGGGTACCTCCAGTTCAACAATCAAAGCTTTTCGAGAAACATTAATGTGGGTGGAGTACTGATAGTGGTGGGTGTAGTAGTCATGGTGGTCGGTGGAATAGTGATAATGGTGGGTGGAGTAGGTATGGTGGTGAGTGGAGTATACCATATTTCTTATTTATAAATACATTTGTCTTATTTAAAAACCCATAACAAAAAAATTGGGGTAGTATTTTGGGGGTTGGAATGGATTAATGGAATGTCAATTAATTTCAATGAGGAAAATTTATTTGATATACAAGCAAATTGAGTTACAAACTGGTTCACAGAACAAATTAAACTCGCAAGTCAAGGTACCACTGTACTAAAGTTGATTTTACTACCAGTATACAGTGCCTGCACAGTGAAGGAGGGGTGGGAATATTTGCAGTTTTGAACTGGAGTATTAGCACTCCTCTAACAAGACTGATGGAGTGAGTGAGTGATGATGAAAATGTTTCTTTTTTTTAGGTCACCCTGCCTCTGTGGGATATGTTCAGTGTGTTAGTCTTTTTTCTTTATACGTATATGTATTTGGGATGTTTACTATTTAAGAGGGGCATTTCAATTGTCATATCTGTGTGCCTCTGGCAAGGCAATGATAATTCAATTCATTTCAGTTCAGTTCAAGTTTATTCTCTATAATGGTTACAATGTGGGGTTTACAGGTTTTGGGTATTGTGTGGTTTACATGTTATAAAATACTAATTACAGAGGGGGCTACTAGGGCACCTAGCATGGCTAGGCATTTCGGGCAGACTTAGATTAATTCTTAACATTAAATCCTTACAGATTATGGCATTAAGGCTAAGTGACTACATCATAATTTGTGAGTGTAGCAATGTGAATGCTTTTGTTTTGGCACAAATGTCTATATTGGAGTATCATAGGCAAACTTATGACTAGTTAGGATTTATTATTTTAAGATTAAGATTAGTATTTCTGGGTTTATAGTCAGTGGGTGAGTGAGTGTAATTGTGAACCACCAGGTGGTTATCATGTAGTTAGTTGTCGGGGTGTATCAGGGAGATAAGATGTTTTCTAACTGTAGTTTTGAAAGTGATGAATGTGTCTGCAGTTCTAGAGTTTTCAGGTAGGGTGTTCCAGATTTTAGGTCCTTTGAAATACATTGAGTTTTTGTGAAGGTTTAGTCGAACACGGGGAATGTCATAGAGATGTTTGTGTCTGGTGTTATGCCTGTGGATCCTGTCACAATGTGAATGATGATGAAAGTGTTTGTTTTTTGGCTCATCCTGCCTTGGGGGGGAGACAGCCAGTGTGTTAAAAAAAAAAAGTATGTATGGAATAAATTGCAAATAAGTGATTGCAAATATATAAAAATATCAGTGAAATTGGTAAAAACACCTGACTGCTTTAATGTACTTAGACGTGCATCGTCAGAGGAATTGGAAGGAGAGGGAAGAAAAGAACATTTTCTGTTAACCCTTAAACTGTCCAAACGTAGATCTACGTTTTTTCAACATTTGAAAGTATGTAAAAAACAGTAGATCTTTTTTTTTTACATTTGAAAACGTAAAAAAAAAAAAAACGTGATCTACTTTTGGAGCACTACGCATGTGAACATAGATCTGCTTGGACAGTTTAAGGGTTAAACACTGAGGTGAAACTTCACTGGGTGAGTTGTTGCCTGCTCTGAATGAGGTATCACTACAGTGTTTTACACAAAATGTGCTTCTCTTGCCTCTCCTTCCAATTCCTATGATGAAATGTGTAAGCACATGAAAGCTCGGGTGTCTTTTCCTATTTTCATGTCTTTTTTGTTTGTGATGTGTATATGTATGTTTATATTGTACATTTGTTTACTAAATAAATAAATAAATAAATAAATAGTGGATGAGTTTGGGAATGTGTGTAAAGGTAGAAAGTTGAAAGTGAACATAGAAAAGAGTAAGGTGATGAGGGTGTCAAATGATTTAGATAAAGAAAAATTGGATATCAAATTGGGGAGGAGGAGTATGGAAGAAGTGAATGTTTTCAGATACGTACTTGGGAGTTGACGTGTCGGCGGATGTATTTATGAAGGATGAGGTTAATCATAGAATTGATGAGGGAAAAAAGGTGAGTGGTGCGTTGAGGTATATGTGGAGTCAAAAAACGTTATCTATGGAGGCAAAGAAGGGAATGTATGAAAGTATAGTAGTACCAACACTCTTATATGGGTGTGAAGCTTGGGTGGTAAATGCAGTAGCGAGGAGACGGTTGGAGGCAGTGGAGATGTCCTGTTTAAGGGCAATGTGTGGTGTAAATATTATGCAGAAAATTCGGAGTGTGGAAATTAGGAGAAGGTGTGGAGTTAATAAAAGTATTAGTCAGAGGGCAGAAGAGGGGTTGTTGAGGTGGTTTGGTCATTTAGAGAGAATGGATCAAAGTAGAATGACATGGAAAGCATGTAAATCTATAGGGGAAGGAAGGCGGGGTAGGGGTCGTCCTCGAAAGGGTTGGAGAGAGGGGGTAAAGGAGGTTTTGTGGGCAAGGGGCTTGGACTTCCAGCAAGCGTGCGTGAGCGTGTTAGATAGGAGTGAATGGAGACGAATGGTACTTGGGACCTGACGATCTGTTGGAGTGTGAGCAGGGTAAAATTTAGTGAAGGGATTCAGGGAAACCGGTTATTTTCATATAGTCGGACTTGAGTCCTGGAAATGGGAAGTACAATGCCTGCACTTTAAAGGAGGGGTTTGGGATATTGGCAGTTTGGAGGGATATGTTGTGTATCTTTATATGTGTATGCTTCTAGACTGTTGTATTCTGAGCACCTCTGCAAAAACAGTGATAATGTGCGAGTGTGGTGAAAGTGTTGAATGATGATGAAAGTACAGTGGACCCCAGCTTAACGATCACCTCCAAAAGCGACCAATTATGTAAGTGTATTTATGTAAGTGCGTTTGTACGTGTATGTTTGGGGGTCTGAAATGGACTAATCTGCTTCACAATATTCCTTATGGGAAAAAATTCGGTCAGTACTGGCACCTGAACATACTACTGGAATGAAAAAAGTTCGTTAACCGGGGGTCCACTGTATTTTCTTTTTGGGGATTTTCTTTCTTTTTTGGGTCACCCTGCCTCGGTGGGAGACGGCCGACTTGTTGAAAAAAAAAAAATACAGGCAGGCCCTGCTTTACAGTGGTTTGCTAATGTAGCAGTGTTCAGTTAAACCGATTCTTCATTTATTCAAACTTCCTACAATAAATATAGTAACTACTCACTGTAAGCTAGGGATGCAAATATTTTAAGATGAGTAATGTGTGTATTGCATATGCCTTTCTTAGGCCTAGCTGCATTGTTCACATAATATATGATAGTGTAAACATGTTATCCAAGCTGATAGTGTAAACATGTTATCCAAGCTGACTTAAGAAATCGTAATGACACGATTGCAAACAAACCATACCCCCGGCCGGGATTGAACCCGCGGTCATAGTCTCAAAACTCCAGCCCGTCGCGTTAGCCACTAGACCAGCTAGGTCTAGTGGCTAACGCGACGGGCTGGAGTTTTGAGACTATGACCGCAGGTTCAATCCCGGCCGGGGGTATGGTTTATCCAAGCTTTTATATGCATTTGAAAATGAAAAAAGGTTTCAGTTTACAGCAGTAGCCTGGAACCTAACCTGCTGTATAAGTTGGGCCTGCCTGTATATATATTTTTACATTTTATTTTTTATTTAATGAATTTTTTTTATTACTACAATAGCATTAACATTTTAAAGTTATGATAGTAGAATACTGTGCCTATTAATATACATATACTGTATATTAAAATTTCTTGTGCTTTAGTTAGATTATATCTTACTGTTTTTTTATTCTTGTAGATTGTGGAGAAAGCAGACAAGAGACTAGAACTTTGTGAGAATGTCTGCCTTGATTCTGATCAGTCATTAGAGAAGAACTCCATCTACAGCACCTTGCTGAATACAAATGAGAATGATGAAAGTAGTGCCTCTTGTATTGTAAGTGAAGTATCTAATGAACCAGGTCCTAGATTAAATAATGGCTACAAAGAAGAGCCTTTTGCTTGTAGTCTCTGTCTTTATACATCCAGTTCAGAAGAAACTCTGAACAAACATATTTGTATTCATTTGAAAGATGATGTGTACGTATGCCGTATTTGTTCATTTTCATCAAAATATTTAAAAACTGCAAATAGACATGCCTGCACTAAAAGAAAGGAGCATTCAATTGTTTGTGCTCTAGTCAGTGAATCGCATGAAGAAATGAGTCATTTTACTCATAAAGGTAAAAATTCTTACTCTTGTGATAAGTGTTCTTATAAATCAGTGAAGGCTTCAGATCTAATTTATCATGCTCTTATTCATGAAAAGCCTTTTGCTTGTGAACAGTGTTACTACCGTTGCAAGACCAATGCCCGTTTAAAGGCTCATAGGGTGATTCACACTGGGGAGAAACCTTTCTCTTGTCGGTTTTGTTCATATGAAGGAAATCAGTACTATAACATGCTAAGACATGAGCGCAAAATGCATTCAAGGGAATTTACCATAAGAAAGTTTAAAAATTACATCTCTACTAAAAAAAAAATAAGCATTTAGTTAGAACCCTGAAGCATTTCCTTCATAATATTTCATGTACAGTACATGGTTTCTTAGCAGTTTAGTATAGTTTGTATTGCACTGTGTAGTAAAAATTAATATTTTGACAGAATAGGAAAACTGATTTGTCACTAATGCTAAAAATGTATGTAACATGCTGGAAGAGTATTTTCATGTTCATGTAATTATCTATTTTTAGTTACAAGAGTTGATGTATGACTGTGGTGCCTTGTCTTCCATAATTAATTTGACTATTTTTAAGGTTTCCAGTGGTTGCAGGATAAGCCTGAAAAACTGGGCTAACCATTACATTACTTTGAAGACAGTCATTATCAATTAATGCTTTTATTTTGTAGTTAAATAATTTTGACACTTTCGCTGATACCAAAAAACTTTTTCATTTAACCTTTAGTGAACCTTGATATAGTAATTATTATATCTCATCCTTTAACCCATGTCTATCATTGTTTTCATGATTCATAATTTATAAGCTCCAGAATTAATTTTGTTTATTTGCATTTTTAAGTGTAGACATCATACTGTACAGCACTTAAAAGCCCTTTTTTTTTTTTTAAATTGACTATCATATATGAGTTTTTCTTAATGTTGTATTTACAGTATATGGTTTTCTGATGAATTTGTACTTGGTTTATAATCACAAATTGTTGACATTAGTTTAATTTCAGTGGGATAATTATTATATTTATATAAAATTTCATATTATATGCCATGTTATCTCAGTACAATGAAAAATACACTTTTATTTAATATGACTATAACCAGTGAATATATATTAACCTAAGTGTTTTGTGTGTCATCTTTACAAGTACTTTGTTGTCATGAGTCACTGGTTTTATCTAAATTTAAATTAAGAAAATCTTTTTTTTTTTTACATTGTTATACTTATCACCTCTTGTCTACTGTATTTGCTCTGTATTGTAATGTTTACCAAAAAGTAAATAATTACATAGGAATTAGTTGCCTGTTGTGGCTTTCACTTTAACCCTTTCATTGTCTTCCACATAGATTTACATTATTGACATGCTAGTGTAGCTCGTGTAGATCTACGTTTAAAGGACAGTGGCCTCAAATATGCTATTATATAGGAGATGCCTGTGGATGTGAATAATGAACAGAAAAAGATTACCTTAGTGCCTGGAATGCCTATAGTGTTTATTTTTGTTTTTAAATTGGAATTTGTTTAATTTTTTGTAAAATTTGCCAAATTATCGACTTGTTTATTTTACCATGTGGTTTTGATAGTCGAATGGGCAGCTACTTGTGCTCAGTTGATAGAATGGAAGGCATACTAGCAAAATACAGTGGAACATCAAATTTCAAACTTATCACTTATCGAACTCTTTGAAAATCGACCGCTTTTTTCGAACCAACTTTGTCCCTATTATCGAACTCGCCCCTATTTTCGAACTGCCGGGTACCGGACCTGTCGGCCAGCCAGCTCTGTCCGCGTCCCCACGCAGGCGCCATGAGTCAGTCTGACTTTGTTGATGCTCGAGTGAACACTAACCTGCGCTCTCATTCAAACATTTTATGATTAATTCGTTGTGTTTAGTGCTTGTGGGACTGTAAAATAAGCTACCATGGGCCCAAAGAAACTTGCTAGTGGTACTCCTGTGGTAAAGAAAGTGAGAAACACCATAGATGTGAAGAGGGAAATAATACAGAAGTATCAGTGGTGTGAGACTTGTTGAGCTTGCCAGGATGTATGGGAAAAACAAGTCAACCATCACTTCTATCCTGGCAAAGAAAGAACAAATCAAGGAAGGTGATTTCCCTATTTTAGGGAAATCTTAGAGGCGCTAGAAACGGAGGACTGTGGACAGTTAATTTGCGAGACGGGGGTCCAGTGACTCTCAAGCTGGTCCTAGTGGCATTGAAAGACAGAAGGGAAGTAACCCCAGAGAGGGCTTTGATACCTAAAGTCCTTATGGAGGGGGATTTCCCTTCCAAACACTAACCCCCCCAACTCCCTCTCCCTCCTCCCTATCTTCCAGATGCCATCACCAATCTTCAATAAAGGTAAGTAAAAATGTTATATGTTTATTTAAATTTATTAATACATAATTGTACACTATATTTGTTGTGTGTATGTAAAACTATAATTAATCTCCATTAAATATATTTTTTTGTGAACATTTTTGGGTTTCTGGAACAGATTAATTGTATTTCCATTATTTCTTATGGGAAATATTGCTTTGCTTTTCAAATTTAGAATTTAGAACTAGCTCCTGGAACGGATTAAGTTCGAAATTTGAGGTTCCACTGTAGCTAGGAAATGGGTCAAATTGAGCAATGGAATTGGCTTAAAATAGGACTCGGTAGGCAAAATTGCCAGTACATAAATTGTGCCCAGACTGTCATCTTTGCATTTGTGTAATTCCCCAAGTTTCTTATCAAATTTTGTATTTTTGGTGTCATCACCTTCAGAAACATTCTCTTATCAATTCATACTTTTTTTTAAATTGTGACATTGTCAAAACTTAATTTTGGAGGACTGACAGTGCAAGGGCTAAAGAAGAATGCCTAGCTGGAAATAAGCCATACTGCTTAGGTCAGTAATCTGAAGAAAGTCTTCTTTTTCTGGGGTAAACCATCACAACTTTAACAAAATTTTAGTACAATTATTGTATTTGTATTATTCCATTCATAGGGAAAATGTTAAATCCATAGGGAATCGTGCAGCACCCTAGGGGATGGAAGACAGTACAATGGTACGTTGGGATACAAACAGCTCAAAACTTGAACAATTATGTGTGTTTTTGGGGGTCTGAAATGGTTTAATCTAATTTACATTATTCCTTATAGGAACAAATTCGTTCAGTATCGGCACTCGAACAGCCTTCTGGAACGAATTAAGTTCGTATCCCGAGGTACTACTGTATGCATGTAAATTTGCATTGACAAATAAAAATATTAAATTAGATGACCATGCTATTATTAATTTAGATTTAGACACAAAATTGATTTGTCTGCAGGTTGAAGATCGTCTAAGCAAATATATGAAAGTTAAGATTCCTGAAGAGAAGCAGGAAAAATAATTGTCTTTAAAGTGAACATGTAATAGTCTAAGGAGGCATATAAATATTGACAGCCAACAATTATTTGTATAATTAATACACCATGATTTGATATATTTTTTTTTTTCAACAAGTTGGCCGTCTCCCACCGAGGCAGGGTGACCCAAAAAAGAAAGAAAATCCCCAAAAAGAAAATGCTTTCATCATCATTCAACACTTTCACCACACTCGCACATAATCACTGTTTTTGCAGAGGTGCTCAGAATACAACAGTTTAGAAGCATATACGTATAAAGATACACAACATATCCCTCCAAACTGCCAATATCCCAAACCCCTCCTTTAAAGTGCAGGCATTGTACTTCCCATTTCCAGGACTCAAGTCCGACTATATGAAAATAACCGGTTTCCCTGAATCCCTTCACTAAATATTACCCTGTTCACACTCCAACAGATCGTCAGGTCCCAAGTACCATTCGTCTCCATTTACTCCTATCTAACACGCTCACACACGCTTGCTGGAAGTCCAAGCCCCTTGCCCACAAAACCACCTTTACCCCCTCTCTCCAACCCTTTCGAGGACGACCCCTACCTCGCCTTCCTTCCCCTATAGATTTATATGCTTTCCATGTCATTCTACTTTGATCCATTCTCTAAATGACCAAACCACCTCAACAACCCCTCTTCTGCCCTCTGACTAATACTTTTAACTCCACACCTTTTCCTAATTTCCACACTCCGAATTTTCTGCATAATATTTACACCACACATTGCCCTTAGACAGGACACCTCCACTGCCTCCAACCGTCTCCTTGCTGCTGCATTTACCACCCAAGCTTCACACCCATATAAGAGTGTTGGTACTACTATACTTTCATACATTCCCTTCTTTGCCTCCATAGATAACGTTTTTTGACTCCACATATTCCTCAATGCACCACTCACCTTTTTTCCCTCATCAATTCTATGATTAACCTCATCCTTCATAAATCCATCCGCCGACATGTCAACTCCCAAGTATCTGAAAACATTCACTTCTTCCATACTACTCCTCCCCAATTTGATATCCAGTTTTTCTTTATCTAAATCATTTGATACCCTCATCACCTTACTCTTTTCTATGTTCACTTTCAACTTTCTAAACCTTTACACACATTCCCAAACTCATCCACTAACCTTTGCAATTTTTCTTTAGAATCTCCCATAAGCACAGTATCATCAGCAAAAAGTAACTGTGTTAATTCCCATTTTGAATTTGATTCCCCATAATTTAATCCCACCCCTCTCCCGAACACCCTAGCATTTACTTCTTTTACAACCCCATCTATAAATATATTAAACAACCATGGTGACATTACACATCCCTGTCTAAGACCTACTTTTAACCGGGAAGTAGTCTCCCTCTCTTCTACACACCCTAACCTGAGCCTCACTATCCTCATAAAAACTCTTTACAGCATTTAGTAACTTACCACCTATTCCATATACTTGCAACATCTGCCACATTGCTCCCCTATCCACTCTATCATATGCCTTTTCTAAATCCATAAATGCAATAAAAAATTCCCTACCTTTATCTAAATACTGTTCACATATATGCTTCAATGTAAACACTTGATCTACACATCCCCTACCCACTCTGAAACCTTGCTCATCCGCAATCCTACATTCTGTCTTCCCTCTAATTTTTTCAATTATAACCCTACCATACACTTTTCCTGGTATACTCAATAAACTTATTCCTCTATAATTTTTACAATCTCTCTTGTCCCCTTTCCCTTTATGTAAAGGGACTATACATGCTCTCTGCCAATCCCTAGGTACCTTCCCCTCTTTCATATATTTATTAAACAAAAGTACCAACCACTCCAACACTATATCCCCCCCTGCTTTTAACATTTCTGTCATGATCCCATCAGTTCCAGCTGCTTTACCTCTTTCATTCTACGTAATGCCTCACGTACCTCCCCCACACTTACATTCTGCTCTTCTTCACTCCTAAAAGATGGTATACCTCCCTGACCAGTGCATGAAATTACCACCTCCCTTTCTTCCTCAACATTTAAAAGTTCCTCAAAATATTCTCGCCATCTACCCAATACCTCCCTCTCCCCATCTACTAACTCCCCTACTCTATTTTTAACTGACAAATCCATACTTTCCCTAGGCTTTCTTAACTTGTTTAACTCACTCCAAAATTTTTTCTTATTTTCTTTAAAATTTCTTGACAGTGCCTCTCCCACTCTATCATCTGCTCTCCTTTTGCACTCTCTCACCACTGGATTTGTCAGTTAAAAACAGAGTAGGGGAGTTAGTAGATGGGGAGAGGGAGGTATTAGGTAGATGGCGAGAATATTTTGAGGAACTTTTAAATGTTAAGGAAGAAAGGGAGGCGGTAATTTCATGTACTGGCCAGGGAGGTATACCATCTTTTAGGAGTGAAGAAGAGCAGACTGTAAGTGTGGTGGAGGTACGTGAGGCATTATGTAGAATGAAAGGGGGTAAAGCAGCTGGAACTGATGGGATCATGACAGAAATGTAAAAGCAGGGGGGATATAGTGTTGGAGTGGTTGGTACTTTTGTTTAATAAATGTATGAAAGAGGGAAGGTACCTAGGGATTGGCGGAGAGCATGTATAGTCCCTTTATATAAAGGGAAAGGGGACAAAAGAGATTGTAAAAATATAGAGGAATAAGTTTTACTGAGTATACCAGGAAAAGTTATACGGTAGGGTTATAATTGAAAGAATTAGAGGTAAGACAGAATGTGAATTGCGGACGAACAAGGAGGTTTCAGAGTGGGTAGGGGATGTGTAATCAAGGTTTACATTGAAGCATATATGTGAACAGTATTTAGATAAAGGTAGGGAAGTTTTTATTGCATTTATGGATTTAGAAAAGGCATATGATAGAGTGGATAGAGGAGCAATGGGGCAGATGTTGCAAGTATATGGAATAGGTGGTAAGTTACTAAATGCTGTAAAGAGCTTTTATGAGGATAGTGAGGCCAGGTTAGGGTGTGTAGAAAAGGGGAGAATACTTCCCGGTAAAAGTAGGTCTTAGACAGGGATGTGTAATGTCACCATGGTTGTTTAATATATTTATAGATGGGGTTGTAAAAGAATTTAAATGCTAGGGTGTTCGGGAGGGGGGGTGGGATTAAATTATGAGGAATAAAATTCAAAATGGGAATTGACACAGTTACTTTTTGCTGATGATACTGTGCTTATGGGAGATTCTAAAGAAAAATTGCAAAGGTTAGTGGATGAGTTTGAGAATGTGTGTAAAGTAGAAAGTTGAAGGGGAAATAGAAAAGAGTAAGGTGATGAGGGTTCAAATGATTTAGATAAAGAAAAAATTGGATATCAAATTGGGGAGGAGGAGTATGGAAGAAGTGAATGTTTCAGATACTTGGGAGTTGACGTGTCGGCGGATGGATTTTTGAAGGATGAGGTTAATCATAGAATTGATGAGGGAAAAAAAGGTGAGTGGGGCATTGAGGGTTTTGTGGAGTCAAAAAACGTTATCTATGGAGGCAAAGAAGGGGAAAGTATGAAAGTATAGTAGTACCCAAAACTCTTATATGGATTGAAGTTGGGTGGTAAATGCAGCAGCGAGGAGACGGTTGGAGGGAGTGGAGATGTCCTGTCTAAGGGCAATGTGGGGGTGTAAATATTATGCAGAAAATTTGGAGTGTGGAAATTAGGAGAAGGTGTGGAGTTAATAAAAGCATTAGTCAGAGGGCAGAAGAGGGGTTGTTGAGGTGGTTTGGTCATTTAGAGAGAATGGATCAAAGTAGAATGACATGGAAAGCATATAAATCTAAGGGGGAAAGGAAAAAGGGGTAGGGGTCGTCCTCGAAAGGGTTGGAAAGAGGGGGTTAAAGGAGGTTTTGTGGGTGAGGGGCTTGGACTTCCCAGAAGCGTGCATGAGCGTTTTTAGATAGGGGTGAATGGAGCGAATGATACTTGGGACCTGACGATCTGTTGGAGTGTGAGCAGGTAATATTTAGTGAAGGGATTTGGGAAACCGGTTATTTTCATATAGTCGGAACTTTAGTCTGGAAATGGGAAGTACAATGCCTGCACTTTGGGGGAGGGGTTTGGGATGGGTTTGGGAGTTTGGAGGGATATGTTGTGTGTCTCTGTACGTGTATGCTTCTGAACTGTTGTATTCTGAGCACCTCTGCAAAAGCAGTGATAGTGTGTGAGTGTGGTGAAAGTGTTGAATGTTGATGAAAGTGTTTTCTTTTTGGGGATTTTCTTTCTTTTTTGGGTCACCCTGCCTCGGTGGGAGACGACCGACTTGTTGAAAAAAAAAAAAAATACTCTGCTTTTCTTATAACACTTCTGCTTTGTAAAAACCTCTCATAAGCTAACTTTTTCTCTTTTATCACACCCTTTACTTCATCATTCCACCAATCACTCCTCTTTCCACCTGCCCCCACCCTCATATAACCACAAACTTCTGCCCCACATTCTAATACTGCATTTTTAAAACTATTCCAACCCTCTTCAACCCCCCCCCCACTACTCATCTTTGCACTAGCCCACCCATGATAGTATTTAAAGTAAATAATTTTGTGCTGCATACATCTATTACAACTTTGAGCCATTGCATTTGTACTGTATTTGTTGATATTCTATTCATTATGATATATAAATGTTCTCATTTTAGTTGTTGTTTTCATTGTACCCTTAAATAAAAATACTGCACTGGAGAATTTCATGACAGTAGTTGTGTTAACTAATGCACAATAAACTGTAATAACCAGCACTTCAAAAACTTAATTAAGGGACAAGCACATATAAGAATCTCATAAAATTTATATGGTATTTATTATAGCTCCCTTCATTGTCAGGAAAAGGGAAGGGGTCAACTTCCCTGATCAGGAAAATCCAAAAT